ATCTTGGACTCAGAGGCATTATGGAGGGACTTCTCCCATCTTTTGCTTCTTGGGTTTGTTTGGAGATTTGGGGCTTTTTGCAGGGGTGAGTTGGTCCTTTTTGTTTGTTTTGCTTTTTCACTAGTCAAATTTGACTAGGTAGACCTACGTCTGTGTTTACTTTTTGAATGTGGCTATTCTTTCTCAAATACACTTTTCTGTACTTCTTGGATGCACTGAAAAAAACCTCCTTAATGCTGGGTGAATTTCTCTTCAGATAGCTCTTGTGCCATTTTCGTAGCTCTTTGCACTCTTTCCAAAGTTCAGACCACAGATCTAGGGTCTATTTTCTGGTAATGTACTATAAGCAGCATCTGTAGTATTCCTACAGAAATGCAATTATCCCCTGTTTGCATATCCTAAAATTGTGCCATCCCTATCAACTGTCGCCTTGCAAAAGGACTTTACATGCAGTTGCTTTCACATCATGACTGTCTCCCACAAATATTTTTGTGCTTCCTAGGAGCAGGCATCCATCAAGTCAGTCTGACCTACCCACTGAACTTGTGGATAGACAATTCTTAGAACCACAACAGTTGTTTTTGATTTATTGTAAGAAAAGGAAAAGCCCAAGCAATAGTTTTCTTCAACAGAAGCAAATCCATCTCAATTAAACCAATGCATAATGGATCAGCAGTTGTCTCACACCTTTGTAATAAGCCTCTGATCACCAGGATGAAGAGTTATTCTTACCAACTTCATTTCTAAGTGAAAAGACACTGTTCCTTAAGACAGCAAAAGCCAGGTTAAGAGCTCACCATCACTGAAAGAACTTGTCCTTCCTCCTGCTTGGTCACACTCCCTGCTTGACAGGTCAACGCACTAAAACCTTGTAAAACTCTCAATTGAGCCCACTCTTTTTTGCTTTTGATGCATACAGCCTACATTTAGGGTCCCTCCTTGGGGGATTAGAGATGTATTCAAGTTCTTTTTAGGTTGGGACCTTACACTGAGTGGTTACCTTCAACCTGAATCTAGTAAAATGAAAAGACAACAAATATCAAGGAAGGTGAGATAATCTCCATGGCATTGTCATGACAAGCATAGTCCTATTTTGACAGACATAAGTGACACCTCTGTCACTGATGCCAAGGAGATTAAACCAAATGATGGTTCAGACGAGTCAAATTTGCTCGTAAAAATTTAAACAAATTGTTCAGAAACAAAATCAATTTGTTTATAAAAATTAATTTTATAAACAAATGAAATTTGTTTATAAAAAAGATAACAATTGCTTCTTGAATTTCTTTGAGAAGTGAATGTGCTTTTTCTCATTAAATTTTAGGTTTGGTCTTTAAAGCTGGATTCATATTGTTCATTTCAAAAAACAGACACCCAGCATGAAAAATCACTTGTCCAAACTCAGCCAAGGTCTAACATAAGTCACCTGGATTCTTGGTACACAGCAAAAAGAACAGGCTCTTCCTGGACGCAATTCATATGGTAGATGCCTTAAAAATTCAAATGATTCATGCTAGAAACACTCCTTTCCTTCCACTAACTATAAAGGGATGCAGATGAGTAGGTCAGATGTTGATATCTACACTGGAGATGAATCCCACCTCCATTGACTTGAATGGGGTCTGGACTAGAGCTTAAGGAGACTATTGTGAGGCTGAAGGACATAAGCATTTAATTTTCTAAGCAAATTTGAAGTTTACAGCCCACATGACTGGGATTCTCTGTTGGACAGGCATTTGTGCTCGAAACACAAACGCAGGAATACAGAAACCACTGCATGCTGAAGAAAAATGTGCAAGGAAAAAAAGTCCTGTTGAAATTTTACCTTCCAAAAAGACTAAAATCAAAAGACTTTATAAGTGCCCTGACTAATCAGTCTAGAGAATAATGAAGAGGAGAGAGTTTAAGGCAAGCTAGTACAGCTGAAATTGAACTTCAGAGGCGGATCACCTACTTAAGATTACAGCACACAGCATGTTCCAGTGACTTTCTGACACTTCATCTATCCTGCTGTATGAACTGCTTTCAGCAGCAGACATAGCCTGCTAAAACTCCCACTTCTGACTACTTGTCTTTCACTTCCCTCCCCATTTAAGGCATCAAAACTCTCAGGAGACAAAAGCCACCTGAGCAACTGACAGTCATTCCAGTTATCTGGATTTTTAGTATCCAAATACAGCATTACTGTGGATCAGTGCATGTCTGATCAGATTGTTTTCTTTTTGTTCCACTTGCACACAGCAAACTTTACTGGCAATATCCTGAAAACAATAGATGCTTTATTTTGTTGAAACAGTGAAATGCATTATTCCTACAGTCTTATGTAAACTGCTTTTAAGAACAATGCAACAACCTTAAGGAAAATGCAAACAGGACTATAGATATTATATGATATTGATTATCAGCATGCCCACTTTCTGGAATATGTAAGTTCCCTTTCACAATATGCATCCTAAATACGCTATGAGAGACCATGTTTTTTTACTTCAGACTATAGTAAAAGGCAAAAAGAAGATTTTTACAGCTGCCTATCGAAAGGGATACTGATAAACAGTAGAAGAGAGGGGCTTTTCAACACTTGTAAACCCCCTGTCTTCATCCTGCACTCTGGTACAGTTCACTAGATTTGGCTGATACCAATTCTCAAGTCTTGGACCACTGAAGCCAAGGCAACCAGTAGGTATTGAATGATCTGTTCCCTCCTGTATCTAAAACATGGTAGGCTATTATTTCATGTTTTCATGGAAAGTATGATACAAATGCTACACAAAATCTTCTTTACTTGCAGGTGTTGATATCCACAACAAGCAAGGATCATGAAGGAAGGCTTTCGGTGTTGATTATTTCCTAGGAAATCATTTTCATTTTAGAGTCCTATAGATTTCATTGCAGCCTGTGTCTCTGTAGTTTTCAATATATGATATTGTTTCTGATTTCATTTTTAGTTGTAATGGGCTATCTCCCCAAGGGCTGACAGAATGTTTCCCTAAGACAGTTAAAAAAACATTTAGAACTATGATTTTTCCATTGCACTCATTTCTACTCTTTGAACTTTGGTTTCTCTGCTATAATCTTTATCCATAGAAGCTGGAACAGATCATAAATTTAGTTGTAACTGAAAAAGCAGACAATACAAAAATTCAGAGTCTCCTCTGGCTTCTGCTGGCATAGAAGAGCCCTAATGACTACATTTCCACTAAGCTTGCCCAGCTTCTTCACTCAGTTTTTCCAAGGCAGATAGTAAGGATGAGCTACAAGCAGCAGCCAGTTTGTGTCATAAAATACTACCTGTAAAGTGAACATTCGTACAGCACTTCTGTTCATACACAGCCAATCTTGTAACAAAATGCAATATATTTATAGAACTTCTTTTTTTCCCAAACAAAGCATCATTAGGATAGAATGCAGAAATAATTGTTCCTATTTTCTAACTAGAACTCAACTTGTGCCATAATTCACTTCTCAAACTGGTCTCCTTAATTTTCAGAACTGTAGCATTTTTAAGTTGCTAAAACATTTTCTTTCTGGTATGGATTCTTAGACATGCCTGAACAATCGGTTAAGAATTGGGTGTGATTTCTGGCCATCAGGAATATGATTATTTGGACAAATGGTACCGATTATGTCTGTCTTTAATCTAACCTAGCACACAATACATGTATACAGCAAAATCACGAATACCTGCATCAGCCAAGACAATTTGGATATATCTGAAGAATGATGTTTTCCTTTCTGCAGACAAAATGAATATGCTTGTTTAGGCTACAAAGGTGAGAAAGAATGGAAAGATGAAATAGGGCACACATTCCTGGTGCCTGAGAAAATAAAGTTTGGCATAGGACTGTGCTGCATAACCTAGCAAATGACATTTTATTTGATAAAATAGAAATGTATTCAATGTCTTATAGGAATCCATGCATTTGTTCAATTAATGTTTTTCTAAATATTTTCTAAAGTTAGTCTACATCGAAATAGCTGCACTATAAAATAAAGGCAAGATATAAATTTCAAACATTCTTAATGTATTATTATTATAATAACATGGATAATGAAACATTAAACAAGAACAAACCTTCAGTGTGCTATGTGCAGTTCTATAGTCAAGACTGTTAAGATCTCTGGATAAGACATTGTGTGGATAAGAGTATTAAAAAAGTGAGATTAAAGACCAGATTAGTTCTAGGAAGCAGTGTGAAGAACTAAACCTTGTCACCGGTGTCTGAGGAAATGCAGCAAAGCCAAGCCTGAACAAGGTATTTTTGCATATTAGAAGGAAATACTATGTTGCTGAAACCACAATTCATTTATTTCTCAGACTTTCAGTAAACCCTGAGCTGTGCCAGATGCAATCAAAGAAAAATTTATTTATCCTCTAACATTTTCAGAACTGGGACATTTTCTTAAATGACAAAATTTAAAGTAAGATGTTGTAGCATTGGCAGAATGCTAAATACACATTTACAAGTAAAAATGTATTTGAATTACAAGCAATGCACCTGACTACAAATAACTAGACATCCTACTGAAGATACAGAAAAATACACCCAGACACATTTAAATAACTCATTCCAATACCTTTCATGATATAAAACATTTATTCTCTTACCACTATAAAATAATGACAGGTATGTAAGTATTTAGTGATTTAGCATTTCTTCGTTGCATACCTGCATGCCATATAGAGACAAAACAGAATTACTTTCAGCTCAGAAATTCAGGGCTACATTTTCAGCCCAGAACAATCCTTTTAGAGACTTTTTTCCCTGTAAGTCAGGTGCACTTGTGCATATACACTTAATAATAAATTTAACTGATTTTATATGCAGCCATGTAAAAATCACTATGTCTGATTAGACTCCTACAAAGTTTGCTGCAGCTTATGCTTTATACATAAAGAGCTTTGACCTACCCCCTAAGAACAACAGCAGCTGTAAGCTCACCTGAATTCTAATCAATGTTTTTTAAAAGTAGTGTTTCTTCCTCTTTTAACACATTCTTACCTCTTCCTTTGTCTTTTTTGATATGACTCTTAGCCAGTCTCCAATCATGCTGAGGACAGCTGCAAAGTAGGCGAGGCCAACAAGGATCCAGAACCACACCACTGGTTTATAAAAATCTAGGTACTCAATATCCGATCCCCCTGTAAAACAATACAGTTAAAATTAAAGCAGAATTAATACTCATAGGAGCAAACCCAGCTATATTTCTTAAAGCTTCTCCTATTTTCTTACCCATGCAATAATTCATAGCAAATTCTGCTGAATTTGAATAAACAATGATCTAAATTCATACACTCTTGAAGATAGAGTTTGGAGTATGCACATTTTAGATAATGATTGCTAATCATTCCTAATAATTAAAAATGAGCACAGACAAACCAATGCAAGTTCTGATACATCGTTATTTAAGGTAGAGGGCTTGAGGACAACTTGAATGAAAGCACTTCCCACCTGCTCCAAGTAACAACACTGGACCAAATTCTAAGTATTGCTCTGGAATATGTAGTGAGTTCCTATCCTGATAGATCAGATTTTGCAAGGACTTTGAAACATCTTAATACTTACATGAATCCTTTAGCCCTAGTAAAGACTAGCACCTGCACTACCAAGTGTTCCTGTTGGGTAGGCAAACGTTCTCTGTTTTGCAGAAAGGGAAACCAGGATGTAGGGACTGGAGCTGAACTGATCTATACTCAAGAAAAGGTGGATAAATTAAATGTCAGCTGAAGGCAGCTCTTTTGAATTCCACTGCCATAAGCACCAGTCACTTCCTTCCAGTGTTAAACTGAAAGCAGTTCTGAGATATCTGTAATGGAGCTTTCAGGTACAATACAGCTATAGGGAACAGATGCCTTATTTTCACACAAGAGAGTTATGTTCATCTGGAGCTCTTGACAATACAATAGCTCACATTTCACAACTTGGAGCAGAAGCCTTAAACTTGCAATTCAACTGTGTTATGACAAATAAAATCAGGCTCCCAGTTTAGGTTGCTGTGAGTAGAAGTTTGATGTGCACGTCTGCCCACAGTAGAAGTACAGCAAAACCTTTTCAGGCATACTAGTCTGTACAGGTTCCTAATATGTTGCTTTATAACTCTGCATCCTGTACTGAAGGACTCCAAGGATGTTTTGGGGCAAGTTTTCAATCATCTTGTTACAGTAACAAGATTAAGTCTCATGAACAGTAAAGTTTTTCCTAGCTGTTATTATCTAATCACAGAGATTACATTCAAATAACACAGAATTTTATTGGTTAGCTTTGTATGGAAGCTCTCAGACAGAAACTTTGTTATCGTCATATCAATAAGCCTTTTCACCAATAAAATCCATTAAGCTGCAACAGTTCATTCAGTTATCCAAGAGATGAATCCACATTGCAAAAATGGAAATACTTTGACACCCGTACAGTCACATATAAGGCAGAAGACAGGCCTCTGTCTGGAGCAGAAGACAGTCAAACACCAAAAGGTTGAGTTTGTCACAGCCCATGACAAACAAAGCATCAGAAATGAAGCTATTTCTTGATATCATCAGCTCATGTCAATCCAGTAAACCAGGATTTTAGGGAT